CCCCGGCTAATTTTTAATTTATTGTAGAGATGAGGTCTCGCCAAGTTGCCCAGGCGGGTCTTGAACCCGCGGGCTCAGGCAATCCACTCACCTCAGCCTCCCAAAGTGCTGAGATTACAGACTGAGCCACCGAGCCCGGCTCATCACAGGTTTTATAAATAATATTCAACTTAAATTTTGTCTGTCAAAATAGGTGGATAATATAGTGCATTAGTTTTGTTTGTTTTTTTTGAGTTGGAGTCTCACTCTGTCACCCAGGCTGGAATGCAGTGGCACTCTCATGGCCACCGCAGCCTCAACCTGCTGGGCTCAGGTGATACTTCTGCCTCAGCCTTCCAAGTAGCTGGAACTATAGGCATGCACCACCATGCCTGGCTAATTTTTTTTTTTTTCTGAGTTGGAGTCTCACTTGGTCGCCCAGACTGGAGTGCAGTGGCCGCTCCTGGTCACTGCAGCCTCGAAATGCTGGGCTCCAGTGATCCTTCCGCCTCAGCCTTCTGAGTAACCAGAATTACAAGCACGCTACCATGCCCGGCTAATTTTTTTTTTTTAATTTGATTGTAGAGATGAGGTCTCGCCTGCCCAGGTGGGTCTCGAACCCGCGGGCTCAGGCAATCCACTCACCTCAGCCTCCCAAAGACACGGGATTACAGGCTGAACCACTGAGTCCGGCAATTTTTTTTTTAATTGTAGAGATGAGGTCTCACAATTTGCCCAGGATGGTTGTCCAGGCTGGTCTCAAACCCATGGGTTCAGGCAATCCTCTCACCTTGACCTCCCAAAGTGCTGGGATTATAGGCATGAGCCACCACACCCGGCCTGCATTAGTTTTAAGATGACTTAAACCACAGTTCTGGGATCCCTTTGCTTTCTGCCATTGCTGATGACATCATGTCCAAGTGGAAAACCTATTATCCTAAGACAGAAGAATCCAGAACCGCACCTTGACCACACTAAGCCACATATCCTTGTGCGCAGAGAATCCATGGAGCATGAGAATGGAGGGTTTGTGCCCAGGTCTGCCCCGGAAGGAATAACAGAACTGATAGTCTTCATGGTGAACATAGCGGACCTGCATGCCCAACGTCCTCCGCCAGTACCTAGGGGAAAAATAAAGGCAAAACAAAAGCAGTAAGCTCTGGATACATGGCTTCAAGAGGGGTACAAGTTCTGTCTGTTAGTCTTACTTAGTGGCAAGAGAAACACTTCTCCAAGTCCTTGTCCTCCCTGAGCCTCTGGAGTCCCCCAGAGCTTCCTCTCAAGGAGCACTCAGCCAAATCATTCCAGAAAGCATCTTAAATGAACCATTGGGTATGTATTTAATAATCACTTTAAGAAGGGATAAGGGGTAAAGAGGTCTTTTCTTTTCTTTCTTTCTTTTCTTTTTTTTTTTGTTGTTGTTGAACTTTACAATCTGCTAGGGGCCCCAGGTCAGCAACTCTGTGGCAAACAGCTAGAGGGGAGGGAATATTGCAGAGAAGATATGCTTTTAGTTGTTCTGTCTGAGATAATTCCACCAGCGCAATACATATTTAGGTTCATTTGTTTTGTTTTGTTTAATTGTTTAGAAATTTAAAAAATGAATTTATAATCAAAATATGTGTTAGTTTAAAATTTCGGTGGGACCTTCAGAAATGCTAGGTACCAGAATCCCAGCAGGGGTTCAAAAATATTAGGTCAGACCTGCCAGGTGGGTTGTGTGAGATCTGGTGCCGCACAAAAGGTGCAAAGAATTGCACAGAAGTTAGATTGGAAAATAAAGTGTATTTAGAAAGTAAATTAGAGAGAGAGAGAGAGAGAGAGAGAGGAGATTCATATCCCCAAAGTAGGAGAAGTTGCTAAAGCTAAGAAAACATGGTGGCCATAGCTTAAAGAACAAATGGCCTGGCCAGTACCTAATAAAATAATAGCTAGAAAGTAAGTTAGAGAGAAGCAGAGAGAAAGAGAAAGAGAGAGAGAGAGCACGTGGCCTGCGCAGTGCTTAGCAAAGCAATGACAAATGGCTAGAGAGAGAGAGGAGATTCACCTCCCTAAGGTAGAGGAGGAGGGGGCCAAAGCTAAGAAAACATGGCAGCCATAGCTCAAAGAACACATGGCCTGGCCAGTGCTTTACGAAACAATGGCTCAGGGGTGTTTTCTTAAGAAGTCTGCCACACCTAATAACCTTTGAGACTTTGAGATTGATAACTTCTTTCTTTTTCTTTTTTTTTGAGTCAGAGTCTTACTCTGTCGCTCCAAGTTATCATGTCCAGGTGCAGTGGCTCACAGCCACCACAGCTTCAACCTGCTGGGCTCAGGAGATCCTTCCGCCTCAGCCTTCCAAGTAACTGGAACTACACGCATGCACCACCATACCCAGTTAATTTTCTGATTTATTGTAGAGATGAGGTCTCACCAACTTGCCCATGCTGGTCTCGAACTGAGGCAATCCTCTCAGCTCGGTCTCCCAAAGTGCTGCAATTATAGGTATGAGCCACCGTGCCCAGACTTAATAACTTATTTCTTGAGAACCATCTGCACCGATACTCTGGCTTTATTTCTCACAACATTTGGCAGCTGGTTGAAAGCTCAGCTTCTGTTGGTTACATAAGATTTGGCAGTCCTAGAGTTTGGCCCAAAATTGATTTCAATATGCAATAACCACCTAAACAAATTGAACTCTCTGCATGAAGAATCTTTCCAAGATAGAAGATAATTAATTCAATCAGATATTCACTTTGGAATACACTTTACACTAAAGAAGTAGCCAAGTCTTGCAAAAGCAAATGACATGGCCGGGCTTGGTGGCTCAGTCTGTAATCCCAGCACTTTGGGAGGCCGAGGTAAGTGGATTGCCTGAGTCCACAGGTTCAAGACCCACCCAGGCAACTTGGCGAGACCTTATCTCTACAATAAATTTAAAAAAAAAAAAATCAGCCGGGCATGGTAGCGCACATCTGCAATTCTGGTTACTCGGAAGGCTGAGGTGGAAGGATCGCTGGAGTCCAGCAGGTCAGGGTTGCAGTAGCCAGGAATGTGCCACTGCACTCCAGTGTGGGTGACCGAGTGAGACTCTGACTCAAACAACAAAAAAAAAGCAAATGACCTAAACTGGCTGGTCTTAATCCTTTGTGTAAAGTGGAGAGGGAGATACAAGATATTACTTGTATCTGCATATAAAAAATGTGGGATCATACACAAGATATCAAGATGAGTATCTGGAGTGGGGTGGGGAAAGAGATGAGAAGTAGTGGGTAGGGAATAGAGGTATCAGGGAGACATTTACTACATTCTTTTTGCTAATTTTCTAGTGACTGAGTTGCCTATTCAAAACATTTTTTAAAAATAATAAAATTGGCTTACTTAAAAGCTCTCCTTATGAGAAAGCAAGCATATTTCAAAATTCTACATCATGGCACCATAATGTGAGTTTGTTCATCCATTCACACCCCAGTTCATTCATTGTCTCACTTTGAATATCCTTTCCAAAACTCATGTTGAAATGTAGTTGCCATTGTGAGCTCCTATCTCTTAATACAAGAGGCGAGGCTGTTAAGAGGTGATTAGATCATGACAGCTCTGCCTTCATACATTTTTTTTTTTTTTTGAGTTGGATTCTCACTCTGTCACCCAGACTGGAATGCAGTGGCCGCTCCTGGCCACTGCAGTCTCGACCTGCTGGGCTCCGGCGATCCTTCCGCCTCAGCCTTCCGAGTAGCCGGAATTACAGGTGCGCACTACCACGCCCAGCTGATTTTTTGATTTATTGTAGAGATGAGGTCTCACTGCCCAGGCGGGTCTTGAACCCACGGGCTCAGGCAATCCACTCACCTCAGCCTCCCAAAGGCGCAGGATTACAGGCTGAGCCACTGAGCCCAGCTCATACATTTTTAATTAATGTCATTATTGGAGAGTGGGTTCCTGATGAAAGTGAGTCTGGCTCCCTCTACCCTTGCTCAGTCTCTCTCTCTTTCTCTCTCTTTTTTTAAGTTGGAATCTCAATCTGTCACCCAGGCTGGAGTGCAGTCACACACTCACGGTTACCCCAGCTTTGATCTGCTGGGCTCCAGCGATCCTTCCACCTCGGCCTTCCGAGAAGCTGGAACTAAAGGTGTAAGCCACCATGCCTGGCTAATTTTTTAATTTATTGTAGAGACAAGGTCTCACCAAGTTGCCCAGGCAGGACCTGAACCCCTGGGCTCAAGCAATCTTCTCACCTCACCCTCCCAAAGTGCTGGGATTACAGGCTTGAGCCACAGCACCTGGCCCCTTGCTCACTCTTACATTCTCTTGCCTTTTTACTCGCCATGGGATGATACAACATGAAGGCCTTTGTCAGATGCTGGCACCATGCTCTCAGACTTCCCAGCTTTTAGAATCGTAAGCCAAATAGATTTCTTTTCTTCATAAATTACCTACTCTGTGGTATTCAGATATAGCAACACAAAACAGAATAAGACACTGACTATATGTTCTTGAACCTCAATGACCTCACTGATAATATGGAGAAATGTTGCATTCCACTAAGGATATGGAAAAGACTAAATAAAATAATCCATGTACAAAATTTTGTCCAATGCCAAGCACATGGCAAGTATTTAAAAAGTGGTAGTTATTGTTAATAGTATTATATAAAAACGACCCTGTTCTTCCAAATAAATCAGTTGCCAAAAATTCAAGGGAAAAATAGGGGTAACTATTTGAAATGAATATGACAGCCATAGATTGATATCCTTAATATATAAAAAGTTTACAAATTGATCTCAACCTTGCTGAAACCACAATTCAACAGTAGGAAAAACAAATAAAAAGATAATTCAAGGTAGAAGAGATAGTAATGGATGACAAACATAGGAAACATGTTCAAGTTCACTAGTAATTAAAGATATGGATATCACAACAAAGATTGCTGAAAATTGTTATTATTATCAGTGATCATAACAACAAGATATAACCTTCATTGGCTTCTAAGTTAGAAAAATAGATTTTTTAAAAATTATAATATTCAACCTTTCTAGAAAGCAATCTGGCATAAAACATCAAGAATCTTTGAAATCTCATGTCCTTTTTGACCTAGTAATTATAGTGCTAAGAAAAATCTGTCCCAAAGAAATAAAAAGAAACATTGAGAAAACAATTTTAAGACATCTGAGTTGTTATTTAAATTAGAAAAATATTCAGTATTAACCTTAGTATTCATAAATAGGAAATGTATTACATTAATTACAATATAGCTAGGCAATGTGATGTTTTGCTATTATTTAAAATAGACTTTTCAAATACATTAAACAGCATGAAAAAATGCTTATGACACGATATCAAGTGACAGAAAACAGGACCCAATTTTTTTTACTAGTATTGATTCCAATTCTGTTGAAAAATTCTTAGGTATACACAGATGAGCTGAGGAAAAGAGGCACAAAAACAAAGAGGATGAGCCGGGCTCGGTGGCTTAGCCTGTAATCCCACGCTTTGGGAGGCTGAGGTGAGTGGACTGCCTGAGCCCGTGGGTTCGAGACCCACCTGGGCAACTTGGTGAGACCTCATCTCTACAATAAATTAAAAAAAAAAAAATCAGCCGGGCATGGTAGCACATGCCTGTAATTCCGGCTACTTGGGAGGCTGAGGCGGAAGGATCGCCGGAGCCCAGCAGGTGCAGCCACTGCACTCCAGTCTGGGCGACAGAGTGAGATCCAACTAAAACAAACAAACAAAAACAGAGAGGGTGCTGAAGAAAAAGATTCAATGAGTAGGGGTAATTTATATTTGTGCTTTTAAAAAATAATCATCAAATTCTCTACAACTCTCATACAACATACAGTGAGAGAGAGATCAAGGAAAAGCTGGAAGGGCCTTTTGAAAATGGGAGATTTGAGCAGGCTACTGGATATTCTCCAAATATTCCTGGAGACCATGGGAAAGGTGTGCCAGGAAGCAGAAGCAGCAGAGGCAAGGGGTAGGGGAGAGCCACTGGTGACTGGGACCACAGAAGGGACATGGGCCACAGAAAGCAGGGGGAGCTTTTTGGTACTACTCATTTCTCTTTTAATTGGAACATCCAGTAGAAAACCTTACCTAGGCTCTAGAAACAAAGATCTAGAGAACTGATATTTTCAAATGA